AAAAATACAAAAAAGAAGAACAAGAAGGGAAAGATACTTTGGGCACTCTTTTTCAATTTCTAGAAATGGTGGTAATTATGAAAAATTGACTGCGCAGCAGGATGATTGGGATAAAGAAGAAGCCATCTTTGATGAACAAGTGATTCTATTTGGGGAGGAGGAGAAAGAAGAAAAGAAAAAGGGGACTTTAAGACCTGAAAAAACAACCAAAAAAGAGAAAAATGAGTTGAAAGGTGGATACAAGGTTAGAAAACAACAGAAATGGGGAAAGCAGAAGAAAGGGGAGGTGGAGAGACAAAGGGGTAAAAAGGGTAAGGAGAAGAATAAGCAAGGGAGAAAGGAAGGGATGAGAAGCCTCAATGGTGGGAAGCAAGATTTAAAGAAAATTCATTTAGAGATAATGGGTAAATTTAATTGAAAGTATTATGATTTGAACTGAGATGAGATAAATAAAATAAAACTAAGAAAGTTAAAAGAGGGAAGAAGCTATATAGAAAATTGAAAATGGTAATAAGATATGGAATGGTATATAAAATGAATATGGTTTTTGAATTTGTGTCTGTACGAAGAGTTTTAACCCGGGATCAAGCAACTTTCAGAAAAGATGTCTTATGTTTTTATGTTTTATGTTTTGTTTGTTTGTGTATTGTCCTTGAAAAGCAATAAAATTTTTATTAGCAAGAAATATAATTTGAATAATAGAATGAAAGGAAGAAATAAAGAGAAGTTGGGATAAGATATGAAGTTGAACAAATAATGTAAATATATATATTAAATTGTGTTTGTATGGAAATGTGATAATTTGGAAGTATTCTGTTTCTAAATAAGATGTTCTATTGTTTTTTTCAGAAAAGATCCTTTATGTTATTATACTCTATGCTTTGTTTGTTTGTGTATTGTTTTGTAAAAACTAATAAAAAAAATTTTTAATTTTTTTTTTTTAAAAAGAAATTATCCAGGCTAAAAAATCCAACTCTACAACCACTGAAGATTGTGCATTTATGCATTCTTCTCTTGAAATTATTCATATTTTCATTGCCATAACAGCTAGGCTTTTTTTTTTATGAAAGCAAAAATCTTCGGGATCTTGCTTTCTCACATACCTTTCAAAAATTCTACCTAGAGGTGGGATTACAGCATCCTCACTATGAATACTTTATCCTATATCAAATCCTATACTTTCATTATGCGTGATAAACCTTTACACATAATGCAACTTTAAACTGGAAATAATTTTCCAGTTAGATCCAAATTTAAATTATTTGACTAGAATAAATGAAATCAATTTGATGCAAATTAATCAGGAATAAAGATCCACTGATTTCGAAGGATTTTATCTAAATATGCTTAATCTGGAATCAAAGTATTTGTGAAAATACTTTGTAAAGTTATAAAAATGCAAAAATATCCTTGAACCGAACCTGACTCTATCCCAGTAACTGCAGAAACTATCCCAGTAACTGCATAGTTTCTAGCAACCATTACAGATACCATTATCTTCTGGAATGCTTTTTGAATTCCTGGTTTAGCCCGAAGCCCTATTTTCCTAGTGATGTCCTATTTAACTTCTGCCAATCAGCAGCCATAATTCCTGATCAATTAACTTTTATATGTCACATTCAGGAAGGCTCCCCTCCCCCCAATCGAAGCATATGTGGGATAAAATAATGGAGGCAAATCTTAGCCCCGTTGTTAAATTTGTGCAGAAAAAATTAACTTCATTTGCCAGTCTAAAAAAAAGACTATGGACACAGTCAATCGTTGCATGGTGTACATTAATCACAGAATGCCAAGATCTTTGCTTTTGCATGATACCAAGAAATGCGTGTAGAAACATTTAACTCTAGCTAACCAGAGCATCTCATTTTATATGAACTAGAGATTCTGACTGAATATCAATTATAAATATTTCTGAAACAAGCCAATTCAAAACACAAGTTACAGTATAATTAATGCAAACACCAGAGCATTCAGTGACTAACTTCAATCAAACTAAAAGCTAGACAAACCTATTTTCCTAAAGAATATATTATAATCCCAAGGCTTCATAAAGTCATGCATATTGCAAATCTTGGTTTATCATGACATTAAATGTAGTCAAAGAATCTTTGTAGTTATGTTGAAACATGAATTTTACATGGATTTAATTCAAAGCTATTTTCCAAAATCTTCTTTAAGACTATATCTATTACAGTACACAAATCAGAAAAACAAAGTTAGGTTTGTTATTCAGCTAGAAAATTGGAGAAATGTAAGGATTATATATTATTGCAGAGTATGTCTTGATAAGGGCAATATTTCATTTAGATTTGCCGTGTTAATGAAATACTCACTGTCTGAAATCTTAAAACTGTATAATCCTAATATTTGGACTGGCAATTAAAAGCTGTCTTTAACTGTACAAGTTATGTACAGTATTAGGCAAAGTTAATTTTTTGTTCAATTTCATTGATTTTAGTGGGATAATTTTCTTCTCTGATGAAATTAGTAAGAATTTTCTAAAATTAGTATATTAAATGCTGTTTAATATTAAAACTATGGTATTCCGCTTTAGTTTTACAGTATAATTTTAAGACAGTGCTCTAAGGAAATGCAGTTTCACAAGTTTCTCAAGTCTGCTTTGAATGATTACATAGCTACATCCATTTTCATATTCTTGTTATAATCAAAGTCAACCTAAGCAGTATTTCATTTTTATGGAAAAAATACAGTTACCTTTCAGATAAAGATGTCCCTCTAATCAGTCCAGAGGGGCTGATAAATCCTGTGAAGAAATAACTATTATGGAACAGCTATTAAAAGCATTTCCCAGCACCAAATGCACTGCAGTTATATACTGGGTTGAACAATAAAAGGGAAAATACATAAAATATTTTGATTTAATTATCTGAAGAATCTTCTTCAGTTTGCTAACTCAACTGTATCATTCCCTCATTAGAAAATTTGCAATTCTGTAGAGGAATACGAAGCAGTAAATTCCATTTTACATGAATTACTTCTGAGTAGATGGGAGCATGGCTGTTGTTAGGAATACAATTTTTTAAATTACAATCACCTTTTCATCTATTTATTAAAATTAGCTGCTTTCTTCCAATAAAGGATGATACGTAATGGAACCTGTTACTTACCAATTGAGAAAAATTCTAAAGTTTAGAATTATAACTATTTAATTATCACTATTTCTGCCAAGTAGCTTCTCTACTGATATCCTCTAGCATTCCATAAACATATTGATTGTATTTCTAGTCATATCTCAATCAACTATTGAAAAAAATTATATTATCTAAAAACTGACCTCTTCACATGCCACTGTCTTTCACTGTACAGAGGAAAGGGACCAATCACTACATATATTTGTTTTGTTCTGTATGTACCCAGAAATACACATCCACCTATTTTACATTACTTTTCTTACAGAGAAAGGATAGCACGGACCTTGTTAGAGATTACTGATTGGATACAAGCCTCTTAGTTGCTTCTGTAATTTACTGAACAGAAATGTCACCATAAATGCTCAGCTCTCACAACTGCTTACATCATTTAAAAAGTTCGGGAATCAATATGAAAGTGGCATTAGATGTTCAAATTAATACTTAATTGTACTAAACCTCATTGCATGGGGGGGGGGGGTGTTACTGTAAAAGTTAGTAAGAACCAATAATTTAAGAACTTGGAAGGCTACAATGAGCAAAGCCTAAAAGCAGTCAACCCAGCTCCTTATAATTACAATTCACTTTGACCTCTTAAAACCCCCTTACCTGTTTAAGAGTTTTATACAGCAGTTTGCCATGGGAACCCATATTTTGTGGAACACAATCGTAGCATCCTTGGTTGATAAGCACCTGCTGCCTAGCAATCATTCTGCATGGATACAGGACCGCACTAGTGTTCTTTATCCACAACAGGTTAAGAATTTCAAGGCAACCAGAGCAAGCTTGCATTTCAAGGTGTCTTCCATCTGCATGTCAAATGGCAACTAGTTAATTCTAAGAGACTTGGGAAACAAATGCAGTTTCTGCAGCCACGATGCAGGTGCAGCACTGTTCGCTTCCTCTTGACCTCTGGTGATGTGTAGTCAACTGTGCCCCGAAGTCTCCTGCAGCAAAGAGTTGTACTCCTGCACAGTGGGAACAGCTTTCCAAAGCTCAAGATCCCCAAATGCAGGAAATATGGCACTTTTTTTTTCAAAGTTTCACCACTTTTTTTTCCTCCTGTTATCATCTGTACTACAAACTAAAAAGTTTGCAGTGGTACCTACGAAACGATCAAGGTTGCATGCACATCCAAGGTGTGTAGACCATTTGCTTCAAAACGGGTCAAGAGCACCAATAACAATTGTACAGGTTTTAAATGACAGCGCTCTAGCTCTCAGGAACTCTTCTTCCAATTCAGAACTACACCCAGGACTGCATAACTCTGAAGAAAAGCCCCTGGTGGTGGAGGAGCTCTCCAACTGTGTCTGGAAACGCGCTATCATTTAATTTTTTTTAAATGAGTTACTTTTTCTTTTTGTTTTCAATTGGGTGAAAAGGTTATGCGCAAGATGCAAAGCAATTTCAAACTTTCTTCAAATTAAAATCAGAACTAAGGCCAAACAAGTTAGGTGAACAAAATAAATCAAGAACTTAAAATTCAGGAACTCCAGCTCTTCAAAATCAACAAAGTCCCAGATCTGTACACTGTTCTGAGACTTAAGATGCTTTCCCTGCTTCTTGCATGCCAGCAACAGCACCATTTCCTCGTAAAGATGAGGAGATAGCAGCCATTGATCCCCATTCACCGTACACAAGAGGACACAGCAACACAACAAACTAGATTTCTTCAGATCTGATATAAAAGATGGTCAATATCAAAGCGAAGGTTTCCCTGTTTCTTGTCTGAGACCCACAACTATCAGATCGAGGAGAAGGAGCAGCAGGAGGAGCAGTTGTAAAGTACCCCCACAGCTGCAAACAAAGGGGTCAAAGGTTTGTCGTCAATTCATTTCCAGGCAGAAAAACCACTTTCCTCAAAAGAAACAATTTATTTAGAATGAAACAAAATCAGCTCGACTGTGAGCGCATGTTTTGAGTGACAGCTATTTTAAGCTGTGTGAGCCATAAAAAGGGTTTTTTTTCCTTTACTTTTGCAGAAATCTTGTGTACACAGCACAAAGCAAAGAGGTCAATTTTCCACTTTAAAACATGGGCATTGGCATCACAAATAGCAGATACACAACTTTTTAAGCTGCCATTTTAGTAAAATGCACAAATACTAAACAGATAAGCTTTCTTCCATGAGGCCCATGTAAATTCCACATAAGCCAACGTTTTCTTCGCAAAGGTCCATTAGAGTTTGGAATCGCTTGTGGTCTTCAGCACTTCACTAGCCTTGCTTTCAGGAGGAAAGAAGAGGTTATTCAGTACAAATGTTTACAAGAGATCTGTCTTCCCCCTACATATAAAGATAACTGTTCAAACTACAAGGCTATTAATGTTCTAGGTAATGTCTGAAAGCACCAATCACCCTTCACTGGCACAAAGCTTTTGAAATGAATTAACATCTGTATATAAATGCACAAATAGTAGTTCAGGGAGTTAAAATATAAGGTAGAGATTGAAAAAAAAAATCAGTTGTACTAGTAAAAAAAAACATACAGAGAAAAATCAACTGAATTTTCACAATTCACACAATTTCTCTCACTTTCAAAAAGTCAAACAAGAACATGAAATTTAGTGTTCTGTTTGTAAGTATTCATATTGCTATGTTATCTCCAACTACAGACTCATTACTTACTGGAGAAAACTAGCTAAAATATGCGTCCGATTCTCTTCATCCCACATCTGTGTGCATTTTTCTAGTTGTTCCAAAATACTTTAGTTTGGATAACGTAAAGGGAAATGTTTATCTTCAGTGACACATCTGGAGCAGCTAATATTGTTTATTCTATAGGGAAAAAACCGAAGGCAAGGAAATTAACACATCAAATTACTTTACAATTTTGCAAGCCATTCACTTGGGTACCCTATATGGATTATTCTTTTGTATGCTTAAGTGGCTACCCTTAACTTTTCCATTTTTATCCAATTCAGATGTATTCCTACATTCTTTTACTCTTAAAATGTAGTCAAACTCCTATGACTTGTTGAAATTCCTAAGGAAGATTTCTTCTTTTCCCCTTATATATCTTGGGAAGAAAAGACCCATGCTAAATATATTGGCTTTAAAAATGTTAAAATTGGCTCCCAGTGTTCCAAATTTAGATAATCCAAATTGGGAGCCAATTATATAAACACAAAAGTGGATCTTGGTAAATGAAGTAGCCTTAAATTGATACTCCACTGACAGCCAACCATGTATGATGAAGTATCAAATTGGTTAACTCCTGGTTAACTTTAAGGGGAGGGGGAACCCATTAAGTTTCCAATTATAGAATTTAAATCCTAAAGACAACATGCCAGTTAAGATTTTCCTATCCATCTCCCCCAAAAGTGGTATAAAGTGACTCTCAGGAAAAAACACATTCTCCATCCTAATGTTATCTCTGGAAACAAATTTCTGAACATGTGAGCATTCAAATATACATTGCCCTAAGGCTTCATAATACCATATACAAAAGATCACAATCCTCTTTATCTGCATACAGATGTGTCACAAAACTTAACTTTTGCTATCCTGAAGTCTTGGAGGTTGGCTCAAATGAATAATTGCACTGCTGTTATCCTAATACAAACAAAAAGCATATAATTCAATGCTACAGCAGCTATAACTAAGTGCTGAGCCATCCAAGGTTGGTTATCATTTTAGTCTAAATTGGACTCCTAATGTTCTTTTTCTTTCTATAGCTACTAATGGACTATCTTCTTTCTTTAAAAAAAAAATCTTAAAAGTTTGGAAAACTGAATTGCCCATTTCACATACCCTTTACCCAGTTCAAATCAAAAGCAGCATTGGACATAATTTTCAATTAAAGTAGAAAAAGAAATCCATGGTGCAGGGTTTTCCAACACCGGTTCCCAAAAATTGCCTAAAATGGCAGTATGTTCACTTTACCTCAAATTCAAGCTCTGAAGGATTTTTTTAACAAGGAGAGCACATCAGTATGCATACTATTTCCAACAAGTTTGACTTTCAAATCTGATGTTAAAGATTTTCAAAAAAAATATAAGGATGGCTTTTAAATTAACATATTAGTTCAACATAGACCGAATTCCCTCTCCAAATAAATACACTAAGAAAACTTTTTATGTAGCATATTGCATTTGACAAATGCAGTAATATGGATAATCCAATATTATGCAGTATAGGCAACACAAATCTGTCTTAGTGACTCTGCCTATAATAGTAGCTAGATTTAATTTGGTTCACAGTTCCAAGTTTCATTTATCCAAGAACAATTTATATTTTCAATTTGTATTTCAGAATTGTGGGTTACTGTACCCATATTCTTAAAAAGTGAAAGGGTGTAATAGTTTCAGAAGTGAGGCTCTACTTGAAAAAAATACTTTAATAGCACGTTTCCCACTAAGCCACTTTTCAATTAATTGTACTTATTCAAACTTGAAAATTGGTTTACATATGAGAAACATATTGTTACTGTACAGTGGCTTTACAAACGCCCGAAAATATTGGAGTAAAGAAGAGACTGAGCAAAAAGTCACACATTTAAATTGTTGATTCTTTCCTGCTAAGTCTTCTCATATTTTAAAAAATAAGAACTGCTTTTAAAGGCTTACTTTCAATCGAATTGTGTTTTTTTAGTAAACTGAATTGCTTCCCCAACATTTATAAATACAAGGTGAACGGAAAAGTGTCAAGATTAAAACAGTGCAAACCAGACTATAAAACCTCGCATAATGCCTATTATAGTTTACCTGAAAAATATTGAGCAGGTAAGCTTCCTATTTCCACAGGGATAGAATAATTGAAATGGTTATGTGGCAGAACTTTTCACAAAAGTTAAGTGCCATCTTTGAAAGTTGCATTCCCAAGTTATACTTTAGAATTCATTGTGCCTATTACACTTAATAATGGGGAAAAACAATGATACCAGTAACCACCTGCTTCTTGAATACAGAAATTCATGATGTTTGTGGGTAAAGCTCTCATTACAACTATAACCCTTAAATGCACACAAGTTTTTAAAAAATCAACAAACCAAATACCATTTAGCAATTTCTTCAAGGGTATGCATTTCTCTGAATTTGGGAACAAAAACTGAAAACCCAATTGAAAGAAAACTACAGTGCACCACGAAGGCTTAATATCAGCTGTATCAGGGACTCAGCCATGAGTTAATTCAATTCAATTCTACATTTTGTAAACTAGGAATTATTCTGAAATCATAACTAGTTTTATGGAAGCTGCAGGACTCAGAATGGGCATAAACCATTAATGTTTTAAGTATGGCAATTTAGAATGTAAGCAAGGGACAAGATTTTATACCTACTTTAAAGTTGTGAAATGAACAAGGACAAGTTAAAAAGTAAAAACAAAAAGAAGAGGGAGGCAAGCTTGTTCAATGTTTCATATTTTAGTGAAAGCAGGCCATCTCTTCTTGCTATACTCTCACTAGCAAGACAGTTGAGGGTAGCCTAATGAAGAGTTAGTACATCTGCTCTCTAGAGTTTGTAGAAAATAAAGGGAAAATAACAGTAACTACACATCTAAAATTATACTTAGGGTGTTGGCTAAGGCTTAGCACCTGGCAGACACTGGAAGAAGGGGAATTGTATGAAGCAGGATAAGCACAGAAAGCATTAGGATTTTAAGATGCACCACGAACAATGATCATGACCAAAAAGTCATCCTCTGATTTAGCCAGGGCCTTTGCTGTAGAATCCAGGAACTGCTGAGAAAAATCACAGGGGGGGAAAGCATGCAAGACCCCACTGTTTTCTTTGTCTTTGTTGCCTCCTACTGGGAGGCTTATCACTCCAGCTGCCTGTTTTTGTTTAAGATAGGACACCAGGTTTCTTAATGGCCGCTGGGTAGAGGTGGTATTAGCTTCACCAGCCCCAGATGAGGCTCGGTTGTCTGTGGTACCAGGCACAGCAAGGAGAATAGCATATCCATTGGGTCCTGCTACTTTGATACGGCGGGTAACTTCATCCAACTTGGGCTGGTCCAAACGAAGACGCTGCGTGATCTTTAGTTGGGCCACTTTGCCACCAGTTGTTCCTTCCACCAGCAGATTGCTAGCTACGCTGAGGTCACCTTGAAGTAGGTGCATGTTTGATGGGAAGTTGCTGTTCTTCAACAGAAGCATCCCTTGCCAGGCTAGGCAGAGTTTGGTAGATGATCCCGACTTTGAGGTTCCATCCTGCTGTTGCTGTTTTTGGGGTGGTTTCAGCCGAGATCCACTGCTACTGTTCCCTTCAGAAGTATGCTCATCCTTTTTAGCTGGACTCTTGCACTCTTGGATGGCAGCTGACGCAAGTGTGCGATGTTTTCTTTCTTTTTCCACCAGGCTCTTATGTTCCCGTTTCTCACTCTGGCCTCTCTCCAAACTCCCCTTACGTGGCTCTCTGATTGGTGAAGGACGATCCAACAAGAGTAAGCGAGAAGAGGGCCGATCAGCATCAGTATTATAGCGGTCTCTGATTAAGCTTGTTTCAGGACTACGATCTTGAGGAGATGCTATAGCAGGGCAGTGACGCTTACGGGATGAAGATGAACGTTCACTATCTGGCGATCGGTCCAAATGTCGACCCCCATCCTCCACTAGCCTTCGCTTCCTAGGTGGGTCTCTACTACTACCAAGCTCTCTTTCCCCACGAGTTCTTTCTAGAGACCAACCATCTCGACGCCGTTCCAGACTTTCAAGTGCATCATACACAGTTGCTCGGTTGCCTCGGTCCCGAACTGGAGGTGGAGGAGGTGCCCATTCTGTTTCAGCATATAAGTCTCTGTCACGGTCACCATAGAGCAGTGGTGGTGTTCTGTCCCGAGCACCTCGGAGTGGATCTGGTGGGGCTCCACGGTGTGCTCCAAAAGCTGATGTTTCTGCTACCAGCTCATAGTGAGCAGGGGGTGGAAGTGGCAAGGGCTGCAAATAGGGCTGTTGATACCGATGCTCAGTGTCGGCAAAGTCCACACGCAGGCGACGGTCTGGCCCACCCAAAGGAAAGCCGCGCATATGGGTACAAGCAGCTTGTGCAGCATCCAAACTCTCATACTGGATGTAGGCCCATGAGTCACCTTTACGATAATCAATGGTACGAATAGTACCAAAGCGATCAAACTCCCTGGCAAGAGCAGCCAATGGTACCCAGGGTCCCAGACCACCCACCCAGAGTCTCGTGGTGGGGGTTGCTTTACCATAGCCAATTTTAATAGGATTACGCAACAGCACTTTACCAGACATGGCAAGCTTAGCCCGATGGGCCATATCCAAGTTCTCAAACTTAAGAAATCCATACGTACTAGTTTGACCCCGGCTTGGCCTCTTAATATCCACTTCAGTGATAACCCCAAAGCGATCAAAAGCCCTACGAAGGTCTGACTCTGTAACCGATATATCCAAATTACCCAGAAACAGAGTGCGGTTAGCTCTCTGGTCATCTTCGGGACTAATCTCTTCTTCAGTGGCCGTGCCTGCACCAACGCCACGAAACGCAGCGGCCGCCACTCCAGCCACTCGATCCAGGCTGTACGCGGGCCTCACCCGATCATAGAAACCGCTGTAGTCTCGTTCTCTTTCCAGCTCCCGGGGGAGAGGCGGCGGGGGCAGCCGACCAAGGGCAAGCTGCTGCAATCGGAAGTCTCTGTACCCTAAGCCTGCTCCACCGCCAGCAGGAGAGAGGGCCCTCTGGGTGGCGCCAGTTGCAGGGTGCCTGATAGTGGCAGGAGATGTCCCGGCCACCCCCACTGCTGAGGCCCCATAGGGAGACTCCTTATCCAAAAGCGCTGGGGAACGACTGCCCCGTCGCCGGCTGCTTCCCCCTCCGCTGCTGCCCCCTACATAAACCGCCTCGATCTTCAGCGGCCGATGGTAGAGGACCAAGCGGCCGCGAGCATGCTTAGCAGCCCGGGCATCCTCAGGGCGGCGGAAATTGACAAAGGCCACCCGCTCGTCGCCGGACCCGCTGCCCGGGGGCAGGCGGCTGATCTTGACGCTGACGTCTCCGAAGCGCTTGAACTCGTGGAAGAGGCCGTCTTCGATCGCCTCGTCGCTCAGCGCCGAGCCCAGCTCGCTGATCTTTAGCGTCTTGTACTCACTGCTGCCGGCCGAGTCGGAGGGCGGCGCGCGGGAATCGACGCCGCGGCCGCTGCTGCCGCGCGAGGAGGAAGACTCCGCGTTTTTGCCGCTGCTGTTGCTCCCGCTGTAGCCGTGGCGGCCGCTCCCAGAGCCTCCCACCGCGGTCGTTTCATATTCACGGCTGCTGGCCCGGTTCGCTTTTTCCAGATGAAGGCTCCGCCGACTACTGCCGCCGCCGCCCTCGCCCGAGCCGCCGCCCGCAGATTTCCCACCGCCGTTGCTGGGCTTCTTACTGCTCCGCTCGGTCCGCGCCGAAGAAGAATCCTCGCCACCGCGGGACCGTTTGGCCTTGGCAGGCGAGCGCTCCTTGGTCTTCATGGCGGCAAGCGCCAGCAAGGGGGAATCGCGCGCGGAGTATCACGCCTCACGCACCCGCCGCCATCTTGGAACCTCCGGCGGGCTGGAACTCCGCCTACTGGGCAGACATTGGGCAGTTTAATCGGAGCCCATCGTCTTCATTGCACAAAGGACCTGTCGGTGAAGAAAAGCGTAGAATCTGAAGCGCTAGCAAGCACCGGAAACGGAAATCTCGCCTCCCAAAGCTACTTTCACAGGCCGTTGGATGAACGGCCAATCACTCATCGATTTCTTGAGCGGTAATGGTCCGAACTGGAAGAACTTCCACCCCATTGGTTGAAGCAGGAATACCAACTCTTTGTTTCACCCCCACCCACCCCTCCACGCTCTCATTGACGGTTTTTGTGGAAGGCCCCAGTTTCTCCGCCGGCCTCAACCCGTGCAAAAATCCTCTAATCACGTGGGACCTTTGCGTTTGACAGTCGAACGAGATGGCGGCGGGGGCGGAGGGTGGGCATTGGCCTCAGCTGGTGTTCTGTTTGGGCTCTGCAATGGACGCAGCTTCGACTTCTTTTTTAACTTAGGCGGGAAAAAGCTTGTGGGATGGGTGTAGTTTCGTCTCTCTCATTTTGCCCAGCGAGCGCGGGAGCGTGTTCGTCTGGGCGGGAAGCGTTTCTCAGCCTCAGAAATTTTAAGATGTGTGGACTTCAACTCCCAGAACTCCCCACCCGCCAGCCAGATCGTTTCTCCACCCAGTGCTGGCGAGGAAATTCTGGAAGTTGATGTTCACCCGTCTGGGTTGTTGAAGCTGAGAAACACGGGCTTAATGGATCGCGGAAAGGATCCGAGTCTGCCTTCTCTCATCTCGGAACCCCGTCCAAAAAGCAAAGCGTTTTTTATCCGGAATCCATTCAAATTCGTTCCCCAAGGTCGCCGCCTCGCCAAGCTACTCTGGTGGGGGCTTACAAAAGGAATAAAACAGGCTATAAAACAGGAGGAATATAAAACACATGGAAAATAGAAAGCACCGCGCCGGGGATAAAATCCAGCCACTCGTCATCGGTAATTTCCTGGAAGAATTGGATGTTTCGAAGCACGGCCGGAGCTATTCTGTTTATTAAAGCAGTTTGGTTGCCGTTTTCGGAAATCTCGTTCATTAAATCCATAAATCCCATTAAATGGCCGTAACAAGGAAAGCATTTACAAATAATAGTATAATTTAAAAAGCCAGTCTACTGAGAAGGCTCGCTGGATAAAAATTAATACAGCGCTAAAAAGAAAACGAGCCGCAAAGGCAATACTGGTACTCTTGGTACTTATTATCCCTATATCCTTCGGGGAACAGGATACCATGACCCAGAAATTATTTAATTAACTATGATTTTAGAACAGCAAAACAACAGAAGTCTAGACTACAGAACAGTCTTGACTTGTTAATGTGCTTTATTTGGGACTGCAGAAAAAGTTGCTATTATACTGTAATCACATTTGAAATTTCTCAAAGTTTTAAATGAGCAAATGTGTTAAAAGTACTGCAAAAATTTGCTGAAATTAATGGAAAGTACGGAAGTGAAAGCCAGTTTAAGGAAGTAGTTAGATTTACTGCGCTAGAAACCTGAGAGACTGCGAATTCTAGTTCTGCTTTAAATCACCAGGTAGAAAGGGAGAGTGGTGCTGAAAGTTTTGGGGGACTTGTTCATGTAGTTTCCGGGAATTCCAGACTGACTCAAAACACAAAATGGAAGTAATGCATAAGATGCAAATCACTCTGGTTGATGTTATTTTTACCCTCTTTAGCGAGATTACTGGAACAATTTTGGGGGGCAGACATATTCATGATTTTCACAAGTTAATTGTGACTGATAACTACTAGCTCCAACATCTTTCTCAAGGTAAAAGTTTTCCAGTGCAGATTATGAGCTGCCAGCCATTTCTCTTGTTTACTTGTCCTCAGACAAACCGCTTCTGCTTACTTTAGTAATAAACACAGCAGTCTTCAAGCAGTATTGGGAAACACATTACTCTTATTTTGCTAAGTAAAGAAGCAATCTTCAACACTATCCTTGGGAAGATATGGCTTCCTACCTCCTAGTTACAGTACTCTTTTAAAATGTGGGTATTTCTTAAAACATGCACTAAAAATGGAATCTCAGATAATGATGCATCAATGAATTCATAAAAATTTAAAATGGTATCAACAGATCTGAAATTATTCATAAGAATGTATTTAGGGTATCCTGGACACCTCAACAAAAATATTTGAAAAGATGGATATCAGATTTTTTTATGTTGTAGGTATAAAGATGGAGGTTCATTGATGTCATGTGATCATTTGGTATCTTTTGGAGTACAGGAATTAATTAGTGTTCATAAATATATGTGGAAATGTTTTAATTGCTAAAGAGTTTAATGAATTATATACCAAAGCTTTAGATTCTGTTTTTCAGGAATGATAGTTGTACTGGGAAGTAGCTAAAAGAAACATACCAAAAAATTGAAAAAAAAGATACTTTCAAATGTTAAGAAATGATTGTCAGAAATGTTTGATATATCTATTTTGGAAGAAGTAATATTTTCTAATAATCAAAGGATGCCATTTTAAAATCAATTTTGGGAGATTCTCTTATTTTATACTACCAGTAGAAAGTCTAAGAGAAGCTAAACTAAGGGAAGAAGTAAATTTTCTTAGTAATTGTGTCAAGGCTTTGTCATACTTTCATTGTAGATATTTACTTAATTTTTCTGTATTGTTTTTATACACAGAAATAAAATAGTTTTACTCAAATAGGCATTTACTAATAATCTATATTTTAAGGGGGAGAGATGTTCTGTGTATGTATGTGTCTCAGTTTATGACTCCTAATGATCACTCCCTACAATTTTGCAAGATTTTTCAGAAGTAGTTTGTCATTGCCTCCTTCCTAGGATTGAAAGACAGTGACTGGCTCAAGGTCACCCAGTTGGTTTTTGTACTTAAATTGGTAGTAGAACTCATAGGTTCCTGGTTTCTTGATGCATTAATCACTCTTGTATACCAAACATTCTCTTTTAGTTTTATTAGTCTATTAATTTTATTTATTAATTATTATTTAATATGTGCTAGCTGTGCATCTCTTGTTTCAATGATATGACCAGAGTTAGCTGAAAAGATTTATTCTGGCCATAATTGATATAGCTGCCAAAAATTCTTGTTGAGTATCATGGTTCTGCTTCCCCTTTGGAGGAAGTTTTTGCCTCTTCTTGCACCCAGATGAGTTAGAAATTTTGTAAGCAAAAAATGCTAGTTGATAGCTTTGGAGCTTATCCTTAGCTCAATCAAATAAAAAAAATAAATTAATAAATACAGTTGGGATTTCTGTTTCTAAGCAAGGTGATTGTTAAGTGAATTACATTGATTTTATAACCTTTTTTGCCATGATTCTAAAACAAATTGCTGCAGTTAAGTGAATCACACAGTCATTAAGTGAATCTAGTTTCCCCCCATTGAGAAGGTCACAAATGATGATCCTGGGATGCCTCAACCATCCAACAGGAAATACAGTGCAGTTGCCAAGCATCTAAATTTTGATGAGGATGCTCTGACTCGAGGACTGGTCATAAATCACTTTTTCAATTTCACTGTAACTTTGAATAATCACAAAACGAATGGTTGTAAGTTAAGGACTACCTGTATTTTGCCCATATCCACCTTTTAGATCTGGCAAGGTGCATATTATAGATCAAGTCAGTGAGTTTTCTCATTTTATATTTGTATACCTTTTGTAGGGAATTTGATGATGGCCAGATTTTTGTTATTGCAATGGATTTTCCTTTTTGATTTGAGCATTTCAGAAATGAAGATACACAGATTTTCTTCAGAGTGGTTCTAGAAGTTTGGGGAATGAAAGTAAAGATGGTATGAAAATGTGATCATTCGTTTTGTGTAGTAGCAATGTTACATATTATCACTAGGTTAGATTATGAAGTCTGTATTGGAATCATTTGTTGATTTAACCTGAGAAGTATTAGGGTTAGAAATCAATGCCAGATAATTTCATGTTTCAATACAACTTGTCTTCATCCAAACAAAATACTAAGAGCCCGTGTGGGAGTCAGAAGAACATACTCAGACTGGGTGTCATAGAAACGAATTAATGGTTACCATGAATCTATTTTGAAATCACATTGACAGAACCTCCATTAATTTCTATTTTGAGCAGCTTTATTGGGTTTGGAAAGGATGACATAGCAGAAGAGCATACAAAGCTGACTTTGATCATAATGGAACTGTATTCTTATGTAACTGTATTTACAGTTCTTTTGAGTGATATATCATACTCTTATTGAATACTTTATGACCTAGTTGCTTCTCTGCCCCTCCCCCCATTTACCACATTTAACACACTGGATGGAAATATATATTTCTGCCAACAGTATTATATTTCTGTCCAATATTTATTAATCTATTAAATTTATTGACTGCCCACCTTACCACAATAAGACAGAGTATTGGACTTCTAATATGCAAGAAACCAAGCCTAGTGTAGTTATCCCATCAGTGAAGAAAAATACAGATAGTCCTTGACTTACAACCACAATTGAGCCCAAAATTTATGTTACTGTAATAAATTTGTTGTTTTTCCCCGTTTTACTACTTTTTTTGCCACATTTGTTAAGTGAACCGCTACAGTTGTTAAATTAGTAAGATGGTTGTTAAGTTAATCTGACTTCCCCATTGACTATGCTTGTCAGAAGATTGCAAAAGATGATCACATAAGCCACTTTTTTCCCAGTGCTCTTGTAACTTCGAACAATCATTAAATGAACTGTTGTAAATCAAGGACTATCTGTAATTAGGACATTAACACAGGCTGGGACAAAATAAATGAATATGGTTGTTCTGACCTAGGCTTTACAAAATCACGAAGCAGACTCTTCATCCCAACAAAACCCCTTTTATTTAGGCTGAGATGAATTCCTCTCATTCACAAAGTCCTGGCAAACAATCTTTCAAGAGTGATTTATAATCACAGACCTCATCAGACTTGGAGAGTTGCCAGGCCAATAGCTTCCAAGCTGCAACGCTGTAGCAGAAAATACTTGGCAAGGAGTCAGGAACAAATCTTCACCCTAATTAAATGAAGTGATTATCTCCTG